ATCAGTCTGAGATAGACAAACAGCGTGAAAACTTCATTCTAAAGAAGGGACAGAGGAAAAGTGTAGTGAGGTGGGGAAAAGATGAATACAGAGTTACTGATCACTCTCCAGTACTGGAAGGCACCAAACGAACATGGCAGGCAGCATGTTGAAGCAAATATTGGTTGAAACACTACAGACAGGGCTAGCAATGCCATTACTCCCAGTGTCCCACATCTGCAAGTGCAGGAAAGCTGTCCTTTCCCTGGCATAAACCAGCCAAACACTAATGATTGAGAATGGGCAGACAGCACCAGAGCTTAGATCCATGCAGCCTAATGTCCTGAACCAACAACAGCCCAAACCACATGCTGAGTGAAATCCGCTGTTGTGGCAAGCGTGTTTCTCACAACACACTTCCAAGCTCCCACAAGCTGCAGGGTAGTGACTCTCGCAAGCACAGCTGTTAGCTTTGGATTCAACAGGTCTCTACTATATCCTGGCTTTGCTGTCTTTATGGTCTGAGCTGTCATTCAGTCTGACAGGCACTTGTTGTGAGGTTGCGACCAAGTCCGATCAAAAAAACAGATTCTTTGGAGACTGTCTCCTACTAGTTGGTAGGTCATCCCTCCCACCCTATATCCCTCCAAGGTGAAGTCTATCCTGCATTCACACTGTGTTCCCTATTTATCTTGCATGCATTTTCTCTCACCCTTTCTAAATAAATGCAAACTTCTCCTTTTATTGTAGATGCTGTTCCAATGTAGTGAAATGACTATACTGTTCATTTACCAGCAAACCATCAAGCCATATTTGTTCTGGTATTTCTTTTTCAGTAAATGCCTCCAGGTGCTTAATGACTTTTGTTTTCATCCAAGTGTTCACGCAAAACTCTTCTGTACCTATTCTCATGTGTTTCTCTATAACATACACTGTTCATTTCTCCTCTGAAAAACACAAGAGAACCACTTTGTAAGCAGAGAATCTTTTATAACATTCAACACAGTCTGTAGTCCTCAGCTTCAGTTTCTTGTAACTCATTTTTCCTCAATTTGGCTGCTGATGTCAGATCCCCACTGAACAAGAAGCTTTTTTAAAAAATGAATTGCATTCTGTACATTCTAGCTACCTATTTTATGAAATTATGAAAAAGCAAGGCTGGGATACAGATTTCTAGCTTTCCTAAATTCCTTTATTTAATAATAAACATTCTTGCAATGAGGGCCTGCAGGATAATGCACCTCAGGGAGATTTGTAATAGAGTAACACAACAGACTTCTAAGTCACATGTGGCAGAGGTCAGCAGCAAGGGAAAATTAGTGGCGTATGATGCTTGTTTTATGTTCCGTGACAAGCGAGTTGCCTGTTTCGTGACAGGTTTTTATCAACAAAACAAATTTAGGCCTTGTTGGCAGCTTTGTCAGAGAAGGTTCTGCCTGCCTGTGTTAATGAAGAAAGGCAGGAAGGCTGAGTAAAAGATCTTTAATTAATACTGAAACACAGAGTGAAATGTAGGTCACCTTTAATAACCATGTTAGAGTAACAGCTGTGTGTTTCATTTTTGTAGAACAGTTTGTCAGTCAAGGGTTCTTATCGGATACAATTTGGCTTACAAAGACATACTGAGTTAAGGGGAAATACAAAAACTAGAAAGCTGTAACTGAATACAACTAATAACCAAGCAAAAGAACTTGGAAATGCCCCAAGTGGAACTGAGGTAGGCACAGCATTTTAATACTATCATATAAATTTTATGAATGGACTACAGTCTATAGGGGGAAATGTATTTTAGTGAAATGAGTACTTACAATGCTAGATAGAAAAGAAACAGTTGAATGAAAAATACATCATCTCAAGTAATATCCCTTAGGATCTATGTAGTAGCAACCCAGCCATGTAGTTTGTCCCTACCCCATATTCCATAGGAGGAATCTCATCTCTAGTAAGAGTTAGATCTCTCAAAGATTACGAGGATCAGACCATAGGATTACAGAGTCCAGAAAGAAGTGTTCAGGCAGCACCACTACGTAGCCACCTTTTATAAAAACGGTCTGACTAAATGCCAACCATGGGGGCAAGTGAAAAAAACCCAACAGCGCTGCTGCATGAGAGCAAGAAAGGTGGGTTGCAGCACATTGAGAGAATTTACTTGGCCCCATTGCTATAACATTACAGCAAAAGAGTATTATTCTGCCTATCACAGCAAATCAAAAGACAGTCATTATTCCATGTGTAGCTGGAACTAGACCTCTGGAGGGATTTTATGCTGAATAAGCCCAGAGCAGCCTCAGACAAACTGAATTTGTGAGCAGTATGACAGACTTCTGCATAAACCAGAATGGCTATCTTGGTCAAAAGAATTTATGTCAGGATTTTTCTGGGAAAACACTATGGCAGTTTCTTCCATCTTTCCAGAAACCTTTTGCTATATGACTATAACCTTTACTCTGTGTAAGAATATGACCTTGGATATAAGGTTAATTGCTCTTTTTTACTAGTACTTTTACAAAATGAAAACACCATTTTACCAGTAGGAAAAACCATACAGAAGCGATGTCACTCATTAAGACTTATTCAGAAAGAATCATAGAATCATCGAATAGTTTGGGTTGGAAGGACCTTTAAAGGTCATCCAGTCCAACCCCCCTGCAATGAGCAGGGACATCTTCAACTCGATCAGGTTGCTCAGAGCCCCGTCCAACCTGACCTTGAATGTTTCCAGGGATGGGGCATCTACCACCTCTCTGGACAACCTGTTCCAGTGTTTCACCACCCTCAGCATAAATAGATAGAACTACTTAAATTTCTTAATATATATATATTCCATAAAAATGAAATCTTCACAGGATCGATTCCCACAGAAAGGGAGCAATAAATGTTTTCCTGAGGGTTACACTCTGAAGTTCTGCAGAACTACTCCTACCTGAAGTGCCTGTGAATTGCAAAGGGTATGTGCAGGATTAGAACAATTCAAGAGGTTTATCTGCAGATGAAGACTCAAGTAAGTACTGCCTAAAATGCAAGAAGTCTGACATCTAAATCATTAAACAGTGTGCTAAGAGCTTTTTGTGGTATTCTATGGATCTAGAAGGTTTATAACCTCCAGGTTATGAAAATTTCTTAAAATGCTATGTGCTTCTTGACTCACTACCTCACCACCTAACTTAAAGGCTCTCCAAGTCTTTCTTCACTTTCTGCTCTTCTAAGTAGATCTTCTAAGTTGCTTTTACTACAGGTTACAGGGGCTACTTTTGTGGACTGGAGCAATCAAAACAGAGACAGGACTTGGATACTCGATGCTATTATAACCACACTAAAGGTGAACATTTTCACTTGCTTTCTCACACTGAGGTGCACTGCTGTAAGGATAGTGCTGGAGCACACCAATCTCAGCCTTCCTGCAGATACTGCTCTCCATGTGACTCTGGCATGGAGCCACAAAGATCACCTGATTTCTGCTGGCATTTTCAACACTACAAAATAAACTTTTACAGTTCTCCTAGCCCAACCCTAATTTGTGAGCAAGTCTGGACCAATTTCATCCTCTGTCTCTTATTACTGAACCAATCCAGCCACTCCTGAAAATTTGTACTCCATCTGACAGAACTGGAAACAGGACTAAACATTGAATACTCTTAGTATGCCAAACACAATTTATATATTCAGGATAATTTTAACTGACTTTCATGCACAGAAAAACAAGTATTACATGCATAATTTGTGTGCCACAATATACTGGAAATGAACACAACCAATGCATTCTGAACTTTGTCAGGAGGTGAGCAGGCAGGTAATGGGAATTCAGAACAGCTTGCATAAGAGTTTATATTTCCTGTAAACATTTTTACATGCTCTAGATACTTTGTCAACAATGTTAATTTTCAGATGTTGTTTATTCTTTGCACTTACTGAGCTTATTTTTTCATTTCTAATATATTTTTTTCTGTGGAGATGCACAATCGAGCATAAGCTACCTCTGAACTGTTGTACTGATAGCAATCCAAACAAATTTGAGATGAATCTTAAATTATAAAAGCAAATGACAAAGTGACTTAGAGGAGTGGTGGTGTAGAGCAGATTGCCAGCAAACAATATAGCACAGCATCTTCACTGGCCATAACTGTCACATTCCTGGCATAACATAGTGGGCCAGGCTACATTTGAGCAATTCAACTTATGCTTTATCCTAGTGAATTTTGCTATAAAGCAGTATTTCTACAGCAACGAGAAGCTGAATGAGTCCCATGACTATACACATATTTGAATCCATACTATGTAGACTGTAAAAGCTGGCTGGATGTCAGTAACCTCTGTACAAGCATCTAAATAGGAAAAGAATTGATCTGCTTTCCCTATGGACTAACCAAAAGCAACTTGGTTTAATGTAACTATTTCAGGACCACAGTAGTATGAAGTCATGGACACAAAAATAGATGATTACAATTCCTAAAAGTAGTAAACACAAATAAGTCAGTAAAACCAGTATCTGATTTCACAACACAAAAAAAAGTCACAAAAGTGTTAAAGAATTGGGAGTAACAAAATTTGGGAGACAAGAAATAGAAGAAAAAATCACCAAGGACAATGTGTTCTGATGTCATGCTTCACTTCATCACAAATACATCTTGCCAAGCTAACAAGAAAACCCTCCACCTCTTGTGCAATTCACCAACTAAACCCAAAACAATCCAATTTTTAAAAAAAGGGCTGTGTATTTCCTTTTCCTGACTATAGAACTGTAATCCCAGATTTGTCAGATGTAAACACAATCTGAACATAACACGCCAAGAACTTCATCTTGGTTTAGGGTAGGGCAACTTCAAACAATATCTTAATTTACATTAAAGAACAATTTGAGCCCTTAGATCAAAAGAAGAAAAGCAAAGAGGACAACTACAATATACCTGGTAACTGCTCAGAACAGTTTTCAAAACATATGCCTTTCTTCCACACAGGGGGCTATGACACGGACTAAAAATGGAGAGACATGGAAAAGAATGGTGCATTACATTGGCACTTACATTTCCCAAATGTCCTCTGGTAGGTTAGCTGGAATTTCTGTTAAGCCCCTTCCTCGACAATCCACTACATTGTTGCTGCAGGTGCAGGCAGATGGGCAAGTGATGGAACTGGCACTGCACGATGGAGGTTCAGACTGGGGACCTGAGGCATAATGAAAACATTAAATGTTAGTCTTAAAAAATGATTGCCTGAGATTTTAACAACAAAATACATCAGTGTCTGAGTTTTCTGGGTCCTTTTACTATATTAAGTAATAATTTATTTGGATTCAGTGAATATACTGTGCTACAAATCAACTGCAGACAAAATGTGTAAAAGATTACTGTGTTCTTATTCTTCCTCAGTCTCCACTCTGTCAATCTCTTTCTCTCAAGAACACTTCTTTGGTCCCCTCCATGATCAGCCATATCAATTTATTCAAAGACTTTTAAAATAAGCCTTAAGATCAAGTAGTATTTCTAAAAGTTATCTTTGCCTAGAAGTTTCCATTGCACAACCACTCCTTGAGTATTTTTACATACTGAGAGAAGACTGTCATCAAGGATGACTTATGTTTTTGAAATGAGGTTACATATTATGGCATAAAGACTGGAAATATAAAGCTATTTTTTTCAAGATTAGACAATGCAGTTAATGGAAACACAAAAAGAATTTAGAAAAATGTGAGTTCAAACCTTCAAATCCTTGCTTAATCTAGTAATTCCACTGAAGGACAAGAAGCTACTTACAGAGCAAATGTTCAGCATGAACACGTTGCTCTATATACATTCCAGTCAATCCATTAGATTCAGGTTTAATTAAGTGTCATTAAGTTTTTTTGAAACTGTAGCAATTATGTCAATTTTACTCAAATGGTTATGATTCCTACATTTAAAATTTTGATATATACATACACTTACAGATAAAACGGTTTTGCTACACTAATTGAGGTTATCAAGATGTAGCAGTTATTGACTAATCTATGGTGAGTCATGTTTCCAAAGTACATGTAACACAAGAAACCCCAGTATCTTTTTGACCAGACACAGAGGGCTGAATGTGAAGGCTTGTGTTGGTAAGAAGTGACAAAAACATAATAGAAACAGGAAAAACTGGTATTTTCCTAGATTACAGTAGATTATAATCAGAAAACATATTTGGTGTACTGGTTGGAAAAATTAAAACATCATAATTGTCAAATCACAAATACATGTGGAAACATGGAAAACTATACACAAAGCTGTACGTTCTTGGGGTTTGTCTTGGAAAAGACCCATGACTGATACTTTCATAAATTATAACTGCAGGTAACAAGAAGTCCAGAAATATTTGTTTGCAACAATTTGCAATCCAATATCACTATGAGAATTAAAATTTTATAACAGTGCAACATTCTTATAAATTTTCTCTCTTGATTTATGCCTACATACCCTCTGGTTTAGCCCTTAACTACGCACAACAACATCAACTTGTATAGCAAGCCTACATATGTTCCTATTTTCAAAGACTTGTAAACAGCAATGAGAAGTCACCATCAGAAAGACATTCAGTGGCACCTCTAAGTATCGTTATTTTGATAGGCAGATACAGTTTGAAAAGATGGCAGCTGAAAACTTCTACAGACTGACTTCACACTTGCAGAGGGTGACCTTCTGGAAAGCAAAAGACGGTTACTGCAAAATCATGCCTTCCGTTAGAAATGTATTGAATTCTAATGTGAATTTGTTTCTGTTTGTCTGAATTTCCCCTAGTTCAAGCAAGCGGTCATCTGCTTTAAATATTATTTTGTAGCCAGGGATGACAGAGCTGCCTTATATTAAAGCATACTGCCAAGTTTCAGGATAAGATCACCATTTCAACTGTGTACAAAATGTTGCCAAAATAAAGCATTGGGTATGAAATTTTTGTATTGGGTCATCACCTGACTTTCTGTCAGGACAGCAGGAGAAAAATGTGGGTTTCATAGCACTGTGTTTTAAATATAGTTTTCAGTGATGCTAATCAGAGCTGTGTGCAACTGTATTTTAGCAGACCAGACCTCAGAACTCCAATTCAGGCATCCAGAAATCAGATTTTCAGAGGTAGTGACCATCTTGAAAAAAACAGGTCTCACAGGACATTTGTGGCATGGGTAGGAGTCAAATTCATTCTTTATGAGAGTGCGCAGCTGCTTTCATCATGAGATGATCCTAATGATCCTTTCGCTTTGCTAAAATATCCTGTCTCATTTATATCCCACTTTCCAACTTCTGTGACAGTGCAGATAAGGATTTTACCAGCAACAGTCTTTTATCTCAACACAGAGCTGGTTTCAGTACTACAGCAGCTTCACCCTACAGAAACAACTGGGCAAAAATCTACCATAAAAAAATAATTCAATAATGTAATTAAAATCTAAATCCTAATGCATATGGCCCAAGGAATCAAATTCATATTTATCAGGCAACCTGAACTTTGACTTGTTCTGGTTTCAAAATCTTACTAGACATTGTCTTAACATAGTCTACATATGTGATCATGTGTGTAATACAGTACTGAAGTTGTAGCTATTTGAACTAAACAAACAAACAAAATCTTCACTAGTTAAACATGTACATGTATAACAGGCAGCACAAGCAGCTCTCTTGGGTCTGTCTTCTGGCTATAGAAATGCAGGGCAGACATACCATCATTGTGAATTAATAGATTTCCTTCAAAATTAATGGACCTCTGCTGCATATCACCAACAGCACTGCCAGCTCTGCCTTTCATGAAGTCTAAGGTTTCTGTAAGATTTTAACTGTGACTACTTCCAAAAGTAGCTTATATTGCCTCAAAATGCACACAGGCCTCTGTTATGTTTGCATAACAAAATCTGTGTTCTTACAACCTGATCACATACATTTTACATTTTCTCTTTGTCTGCCTACCTTGTGGTGCAATACCCAAAACAAAAATGAGGAATGAGGGAAGTGCAAACGAGCTATTGCAAGCTTTTAGGGATAGGGAGAAATTATCTAACTGAGAAGAAACACTTCAGAGCAATCCTTGCTCTCTGGGAGGCAAAAAGAAAGTTGGCAGCAAGGTCAAATCTTCCACACACCCTTTATCATCACACATCTGATGTGCTTTCTGAAGAGGCTTTGTAGTGAGGGGAAAATGCATTTTGCACAGTTATAACACAACACTGTGGGTTACAGAAGCAGTAATACACTCCCTTTTCATTAGGGCACAACATCAAAAAACCTGACGTATTGCCAGTTGGAGTTTCAAGACTCTGTTCCTGACTCTGCTGCATCTAAAGCAACAGTAGAAGATTCAGTGGAACTCAGCTCATCACCTCCACATTTTGTCTGACGCAGTATTGCAGCATGCTCTATGCTAAAGGAATGGTTTGAAAGGAAGTTATTATATAAAGTACTCTGAAAAGAGAGAAGACAGACAGAAACACCAGTCTTCCTTGCAGAAAAAGTGGGCAGCAACAGTAACAAGGTGATAATTAATATCATACTCAGTTAAATATCATGGAACTTTCCAGCAACTTTTTGAATGGAAATGCCAACAGGTAAATCAGAACATTATTTGTGATGCCCACTAAGCCTTTCGGATCCTCTCCAAACAAACACCTGATATATAGTTGACCGAAGCCAACAGGAGTCCTTTTATTTACCCTGAATTTGGACCAAAACCCATTTACCTGTGATTTTCCACTATGAAGGAGGAACTTTTATGTGAACAGAGTTTTGATTTATGGATAGTGAGTAAAACAAATAACCAATTAGTTAACCAGGGAGGTACATGATGTCAAAATATAGAGAAAAAACAATAATATGTCTTTATTCTTAGCGCAGATGCAAGTGAAATGGGATGAAAAAATAATAGCTTATGCTGAACGAAAGTAAAGTAAAATAAAAAGTAAAGAAAGAGGCTGTCTTTGTGCAGACTCTTTATTTTCCACATATAATGAGTGATCAGTTTTCTTATTTCACTCAAAATAGGATGGAAAAAGGAGTATTTTTATAAACTTAATTCCTCATTATAAGCTTGAATTCTCTGAGTATCCCAAAATAGCCGGTACTCCTGCCACTTTTCACTGACATTTTGTGCTTAGAGTAAAAATACTTTTGATTCCACGCTGAATACAGCCCTTTATGTTTGGTGAATTTCCTCCTTCTTCATGAGCAAAAGTAGATCTAGACTGTAGATTTCTGAGAATTTTAATGAAATAAAAAGACCTTGTGCATAAATTGCTATCATTATTATCAAATGCTTTTGCTTATGTTTCTCCTTTGCAAAGAACAAAATACTGTATTACACATGCACGCTCCACAGGCATCTAGCACATATTCCATCAGCTCTTTGACAAACAGTCATCTGTTACGGTGAAGTTCTCTTGAACAATGCTATAAACAGAATTTCAAATCTGATTTGGATTTAACTGCTTCAATTAAATAAGGATCTATTGTTAGCTCCATAACAAATCTATAGAATTAAAGCACAAAAAAATCCAAGAGAGTTTAATCGCTTAGATGTTTGTATAGTTGTGGAGAGCTGGTAAAAAAAGGACTGGTCAAGAAAACAAGTCTAGGTAGGCTATGGAATTTAAAGCTCTTAAAATTAAAATTTAGGTATAATTTTCATAGGTATGCAAAGTATAAGCATAAGAACCCCAGGTAATACACCCTCTAAAGAAGGATATTTGAAATCTAAAAATGAATTTTTCTTTGATGCCAATACTTCTTCAAAAGAAAAGACACAGGAAAAGCAAAAATATTTCAGGATTCCTGTTTGTGTCCTTCACAAGTGCAGTAAACTCTTTACCGCATGGATGCAACAAAAGGAAATGGCCATAGACAAGCCAGCCATTCTTTCCCTTCTGAAGTTGTTCTTACTATCTGTCATCTTGTCATTTCAGATTTTTTCTGTTACACAGCAGCACTAGTTCACCATGTTAATTATATTTTTCTATAAGAGATAAAAATCATCAACTCAATTATACATTTTGCTGTAAAAAAACCCAACACTAACAAAATGTGGAAGCTAGGATAGGAACGTGATTAACAAAAATTACTATGCTTTTTGTGCCTGATGTAATAGAATGACAGCTTCAATGATTATGGTAGTTAATATCTGGCATTCCATTAGCCTGCACCACTTTATTTTACAGTCTCAGACTATGGGTT